CACACACACACACACACCTTTATACAACTGTGGAGCCGCTCCACCTGCCATTGAAGCTAATATACTGGAGAGGGTTTTTAGTGTTTAAATGAGATTCTCTTTCACAGAAAGAACTTCACCACTGGGACGTCGGAGTTTCTGCAGTCTGTCGGGGTGTCGGGGAGGGAGGAGGGACGCTAACCAAAGAAAAATAATAATAATTATAATAATATATAATAAAATAAAAGACATTCAAATACAGTCAGCTTTTTGCTTGAAAATACAAAACTACATGAGAAAGCATTGAAATAAAATCCATTGATCAGAACATATTTTTTTTTTTTAAAAAAGCCCAAGTGCTCCATCACACACACAATCTTACTTTTTTTTTATCCACACACACACACGCACACATCCACACACACACAACAGAGCAACATCCGCGCATCCGTTGCCTAGTTACAACTGCCTGGGCAGCCAATGGGGATGGCAGCTGCGAGGAAGCAGGAAGTCTCTTTTAACAGCAGTTCTTGAGAAGGAGAGGAGGGCCAGGAGCTGAGGATTAACACCGGAGAGATCTTCACACTCTGCCAAGGCCCTCTCCGAATAACTTTCTCTCTTCCCGTCTTCTTTGTATACAGACTGCAATGAGAAACAACTCCAGTGAGGAATCTCTTGTGGCCGTTCTGTCAGTCCATCCTCAGCTCCACTGCTCCCTCTAGTGAAGTCTGCCTCCGCTGCAGCGCGTCTGACTGCAGGCCGGCGCGGAGCTGCTTCCTCTGCAGCCTTTTTCACCTCGAGCCCGTCCGAGAGCGCCGCAATCACAGAGTCTCTCTGGGTCCTTATGGCTGCGAGTGGATGTGTGTATGTAACTGTGTGTGTGTTTATATGTGTGTATGACTGTGTGCAATGTAACGTGTTTGTATGCTTATGTGAGAGTGTTAACGCCTTCAGTTATGTTGCAGCGTGTTGGACTCGATGGGCGGCGCCGAGTCATACAGAGTGTCCGTGTCGTGTGTGGGCTCTCCGGCCAGCGTGCACGGGTTCGACAACGTTCCTGCTCCGCAGTCACAGAAAAACCTGAAGCAAACACACGTCGTATAAACATTCAAGTTAGTGAAATCAAATATTCAAGAAGTACATTAACTGTGGTTACTTTCTGGACAACATTTGCATAATTACACATTTTTTACAGTTCTAAAGTACAATTGCAAACGGGAAACCACATTTTTGTCAAATAAAACTGAAGATAATCAGTGAGGAGAAAAACATGGCGGCATGAAACCGAGACACTTACCGATCGTGCCGTATAAACTCTACATCATGTCCTTGGTGGCATTTTTTGATGCAGTTAACACAGATGGCGTTCCTATCTGTCGTGTTACAGGTGTGACATCTGGAGACAACATTTTCATATTAATGAGGGGAAATTAAAGTATAATACAAGTGCAACAACTGCTCTTTGTAGTTATAATCTCCTAGCTACTGATTTTATGATGCATATTTATTGATTCGATTAGGTCTGAAAATTAAC